TCTGCACCTTTTGAAGCATTTAATCTGTCTTTGCTAATATTAGCATTCTGGACCAGTTGATGAACTTTAGCAGATGATGCAATTTCTTTCTTCTTTTGGTTCTCTTTGAATTTTACTCATTGACTTTGGACCTCTTTTCTCGACTTGCCCGCGGATAGGTTAGCAGATGGAGAAACTGTTTCCATTTGAATATCCTTTTTCACCAACGGTTCTTCATTATGAGCAATTAATTCCCCATGATTAATTCGTGTCAGACCAGATTCAATGCTGATTGAATCAATCACTGGAGAATCAGAAATAATTAAGATATAATTTTCCTTTTGAGCCAACTCAGCAATAGCTTGAAATCTTGAACCTGATTGAATGACCTGTCTGTGATTAGGATCAGAATTGGAAACTGCCTTATTACGTAACGCTGCATTATTAATAACACCAACTTGTCTCCTACTTGATGGTAATGATTCCTCCTTTTATTGTGCTATGCTCCTTGATTTCTCCTTTGATTGTGCTATGCTCCTTGAACGACGGTTACGCTGCACCAGCATCCAATTCCCAAACGGTTCCTCCTTCGCCGGAACATAATCTTTTTCCGGCTGCTTATGCACCACCGAGTCAGAAACTTCAGGAGAATAAGCCGTAATATCTTGTTGAAGATTACTATGGGAACACTGATCCCTTCTATGCCCATACTTTCCAAGAGCAAAACAAACTAAGTGGAGACCCTCATATCCAACGTGGAAGATACGATTAGCAATCCAGAATTTGGACAAAAAGCCTTTCCTAAGATCAACTTCTACACAAATTCTAGCAAACTTTGCTCTCTCTGTAATATCACCTTCACCAGAATCACGTTTCCTGATAGAGTTCCTATCAATCTTCAATGTGCGACCAAAAATACTACCTATATTCCACAAATGATGAGAGGTATAGAATTCAATAGGAAGCCCTGGAATACGAATCCAAACTGCCAGCTTTCTGATCTCATCATCATAAGGATTAAAAAATGGACGCCACCGTTGAACTACCACATAATGATCAGCTATGATCCAAGGACCATCCTCCAAAACATGAGAGTAATCATTCTTATTGAAAAATCGGAACAAAAAGTAGTCATTCTCCAAATCAATGAACTCGTATGTTCCTGAGATATTCCACATTCTCAGTAAACGATTGAGTAAGAATCTAACTCAAACTTTCTTCCCCAGAAGTTTCACAATCATTGCCTGTCTCCAAGGTCTGCAACCTTCTAAATGAAAGGCTTTTGGAAAAGAGTACGTTGGGCAAAGAGGATCCTCCTCACCATCAACCGTAACAAAGACCTCATCCCCTTCTTCTTCGTCCTCTTCCTTACGTAGTTTTTCTACCCAATCTTCCTCATCGCTATCAGCAGCATGAGGTCCTCTATTAAAATCAAGAAGAGAATCTTTATATGACACCAACTTCCTGTTAGATGAATCACTTGACTCCTCCTTTTTTTTTTTTCCCCCGTTGCTAATCACATTCACCTGGATATCCTCATCTGCCATGTGATCATCCATAGCAGGGCCTTTAGGTTTTTTTGTGCTACGATGGAGAAGATCTTCCTCCTTCGCCGTAACATCTCTCGCCTCCTTGCCAGTTTCTCTCTCTTCACTCATCACTCTAAAATTTTATGAATTTGTAGCTTTAAGACTTCTAACTTTTACACCACCTGTGTAAGAATATCCTGCCTCATAATGCTATTTTTATTTTACATTAAAGTAGTTCTCTCATGTTACAGAAAGAAGCCACATGGAGACCACTATTAAAGGATAAAAAAGAAAAGAAAATAAGAGTGGGTGAGATTTTCGAAGTGAGATGACATAAGATAATTATCTGATGTAAAATGAGAGTAGTATTTTCCCTAAATATATTAAAATAAATTAAAACAGGTAAAAAATAAGTTAAAGTTATAGGTTTTTTTTAACGTGCAACTTAACCCATTTTCACATCTAATTATATGGAAGGCACATTTACTACAACTCCCACCTAGCTCTACGTGAGGTCTATGAAAGTAATGTATTTTATATCTGGAAGTGAATTGATTTCTTTATGTACTATTCTTTTGCATCAAATACCGATTTTTGTTTAATTGAAAATCACGTTTCTTCTTGTACTTTTCTCTTTTTCAACGTTTAATACTATCAATTCATTCTAGACTTCTCTATTTCTTTTTCTTATCATTAGAATTAAAATCTCTTCGAAAATTTCTCAATTTGTTTAATTAATTCTCTATCAATTCCTTATTCATCCGTTTATTTTCCATTTATTACTTAATCAAATCTTAAAATTTTCTTGTATAAAATTATGTAAATATTTGTTGTATCAAGTGTCAAATATTTTTGATTAATCAATCTCTATGTGTTAAATAGAATACACTCTATTGCTGGATACCAAAAAAAGAAAAACGAAAAAAGAATACAGTCCATTGAAAGTGGATAATAATTCATTCTTAACTTTTATTCTTTTAAAATTCAAATTCAAATTCAAATTCTTTTTAAATAACCCAAGTGTGGTGGCTTAGTTGGTAGCATGGGGACTGAGTGGTGAGAGAGGACCTCGGTTCGAATCTCACCAACACCATCTGGGGAGTGGCATAAGTACCGTAATCTTTGGACTCGCACCCGAACTCTGGATTAGTCTCATAGGCGGCTCAAAGAGTCGAACCCGTGGGGATACCGAAAGATTCTGATTCGCCTCAAAGAAGTAATTAGGATCAGTTTCCAAAAAAAATTCTTTTTAAATAAGTTATGCATATATTCTTTATAATTTCAAACAATTTTTATTTTAATCTCTTTTTTTAAATTCATCTAAACTAATTTCACTTATTTCCCTTGTAATGTTAAACATTTTTTCTTTTAATTTATATTTTTTAAATTTTACCTATTTTTAAAATACTTACATAATGTATACGATACTGGTTAGTTATATATATGTGTGTGTGTTTGTGTGATAAAATTATTTTTACAGCCATTTTACGTACAACAGTGACATGTGTATGATTATGATTCCCCACATTTAATGTTTTTCTCTTTTGTATGGTTATTTATGATTCCCCAAATTTAATATTTTAACATATATATATATATATATATATAGAAAGTATTTGATTGTTGCACGTACAACAGTTGTACAAATGTAAATATATATATACGTAGGTAGGTAAAATCATTTCTCCGGCTTTGGATGTCCAATAATAAATCTTACACTGTTGATTGGTTATGATTCGTCGCATTTAATGCTTTCATCCATCTTTGTATGGTCATGATTCCCTTTATTTGCCGGACGTCAAGCGACCGGAGAAAAGTAAAGGCTATATATATATATATATATATATATATATATATATATATACGCGCACACACACACCCACCCACCACAATCATTGTTTCAAATGGTAAGGAACTTGTTCCTCTTAATCAAAGGCCTCGAATTCGAGCCTCAAAATGGAGAAAATGATCTTAGGAGAATCGCCCCCTATAATGGATCCGACAGTATTTGAACTAATGTTAAGAAACCAGTACCGGCTCGGCCAAGTTGACTCGGGAACCGATAAACCGGTCATATAACTGGTCTGATTTTGGTGAAAACCGGTGACCCGACTCGGTTCATAAAAAAAAATTGGTTTGTTCTTATTAATTGATGCATTTCTTTTTTCACTCTCACACACAAATGGTTTATTTTCTTTTGAAATATTTAAATGATTCGTTGATTATTGACTTACATAGGTTATGTACCTACAACACTAATATTATCTTGGTTATGCAATATGCAGGAAATTTTGATTTGATTTATAGCTACATATGTCGTCTTCTGAACCTAAAGCACAAGTATCACAAGCATTATATGTTTGTTTGATCTTTAGTGGGACAATGATGTGTGAATTATTTTTTTTGCATATTAGAATATTTGGAATTGATATCATATTTTTACGGGTGTTTGAGTATATTTATAGTTTTTTGTTTAATTATAGATTTGCATATATTTACCGGGTCATGCGGTTGAACTAGTGACCCAGTACCTCGACTAGGTCAATAATCAAGTCGGATTTAATAACATTGGTTTGAACTGAATTAGTAGGATAATGATGAACCGATGGATATATCCAGAAAAATTTAAAATTATTTATCTACTAAAAAAATAAATGTATTTGTATTTTTAAAATATTCAATATATAAAATTTTTTATTAGTGTATTTTCACAAGGGGTAGGTAATATTTATAAAAATTTTATTTACAAACTACACTATGTATTATGAGTAGTATATACTCCTTATATATTCAAGGAGTATATACTACCCGTAATACATAATGTAATTTGTAAGAGTATGTACTACCCGTAATACATAGTGTAGTTTATAAGATTTTGTAAATAAAAAATTTGTAAATCCTTGTAAAAATTATAAAAAATATCTTAAAAGTACTATAACAAAACTCTTTTCCGTATATAACAATGGGGTTTGCATTTATTATTTAATATGACACAAGAAAGTTTCTTACACACACAACATTTTGTGGGCCCACACTTTTTCATCAAAAAAGAAAACTACGACACGCAAAACGAATCTCTATAATATTACACAATCATTTTTCCTACAACGTAACTCTTATAAAACTCTATCACTATATATATATATATATATATATATATATATATATATAGAATATGCGTGGACTGGTTTGTCCTTTATTCTTTAGAATCAATAAAAAAAGAAAAGAAAAAACTACTCGATTTTGATGAGTCATTATAGTTATTTTTTTTTAATTTTTTTAAACATCATTATAGTTATTTTAACCTCTACGTAAACCACTCTCTTCTAATAACAATTACTGAAACTATACATGACTAGTCATGTACACACCATTAACTGAAGATGCAAAAACTGCAGCATAGAGCCTTGAAGTACATCGTTCTAATGAAAAAAGAGAAACATGTACAAGAATTTTATTTTAAAAAAAAGATACAAATACAAAAATGTTTTATCAGACTAAGGTATTTCCCATGGCTTCTGCATCCATTTTAAGATTACAAATAATTATTGAATTCTGCTTATCTGGTGAAGAAATCAACCCAAAGGAATTCAAATTCCAGTATTCTCCATTTCTTATCTTCTGATCAGTCTCTTCTCTCTTCTGCTCAACTAAACATCCATCTGCACTTGAAATAGCTACTTTTCTCCAATTGCACCAGATTCTCAACATTATATACAACATTACTAAGCATATCATTGCTGAAGTAAAGACAATGGCAACTATGATTGCTACCACTTCTGTTTTTGACAGCTGCATTTGATCCTTCCCTATAGCATCTGAGCACAATACTAATGGTGGGCCACACAAACGGTCATTATTCAAGAAGGAGTTTAAAGGGAACTCTGAAAAAGTTGAAGGAATCTGGCCTTGAAGATGGTTATTTGAGAGATTTAGCACATGCAAGCTTGTAAGTTTACCAAGTGAAGGAGGAACTTGCCCTTCAAGTTGATTAAAAGAAAGATCAAGTCTTTCTAGCTTCATGAGATTTCCAAGAGATGATGGAATCTCCCCAGAAAAGATGTTTCTGCTTAAGTCCAAAATTACTTGCAACTCAGTGATTCCTCCTATCTCAACTGGTATAGAACCTGTCAAAAAGTTTTCTGAGAGCCTGAGCTCATACAACTTTGTGCATTGCTGAATCGTTGAGGGAATGAGGCCAGAGAGACTATTACTTTGCAAGTTGAAGACATTTAGAGAAGTAAGGTTTCCTATCTCTTGAGGGATTTCACCTGAGAGATTGTTGTGATTGAGAGAAAGCTTGAGTAATTTTGTGCAATCACCAAGCTCAGCAGGAACCTTTCCATGAAAGTTATTGAATGAGAGATCTAGCTCACCAAGTTCTTGTAAGCTTCCTAACCATGGAGACATTTCACCACTCAATCTGTTGTTATTCAGAAGAAGGTGTTCAATCTTCTTGCATTTTGAGAGTTGAGGTGGCACATCTCCTGTCAAATTGTTGAATGATAAATCAAGAAAGTTTAGCTCAGTAAGCAGGCCAAATTCTGAAGGAACGCTTCCTGTGAGATAATTGTGTGCAAGTCTGAGACGGGTGAGATCTTTGGAGTTGGATAGAATAGAAGGGATTGGACCTGAGAAGCTGTTGTTGGTCAAGTCCAAAACAGTGAGAGAATTTGAACCTATCACAGGAAAGATCCTTCCACTGAACTTGTTGTGGGAAAAATTTATGATTTTAAGGTTTCTGAGAAGAGAGAGTGAATCAGGAAGAGATCCTTCAAAGGAGTTGTTGTAAAGGGTAATGGTATGAAGTTCTGAAAGGTAACTGAATGTGGGTGGAATGGAACCTGACAATTTGTTATCTGCTAATGCCAATAACTGAAGCTTTTTACAGTACCCCATGCTTGGTGGGATTGGACCTGATAAGTCATTTTGCCTTAAATGTAGAACAGTTAAGTCCTTGAGCTTACCTATAGTCTCTGGAATAGGCCCTGCAAAATGGTTTCCAAAGAAGTCAATTTCTGTTAAGCTTGTGCAGTTTGTTAACTCTCTTGGTATAAGTCCTGACATCTGGTTATCATAGAGGTAAATAGTGTTCAATCTCTGAAGCCTTCCAATCTCCACCGGGATTTTTCCTGTGAAGAAGTTACCAAACAAGAAAAGACTTTTCAAGCTGCTAATATTTCCAATTTGTGGAGGTATAGATCCAATGAAGCTGTTGTTGTTGAAAACAAGATCTGTGAGGTTCTTTAGTTCGTCCAGGCTGGATGGAAGTTCACCCTCAAAGCTGTTATCAGAAAGGTCCAACTGTTGGATTGAGGAGCAGTTTAGTATCTCCAATGGAAATCTTCCAGAAAGCTTATTTCGAGCCAAGAACAGTTGCTGAAGTTTTGAACCTCTGAAGCAGAAGTTAGGTGGAATACTACCTGTTAAAGCATTATCAGACAGAACCAGAGTTTCAAGATTATGCAATTTGACATTAAGAATGGTTAGTGATCCAGAAAGGTTGTTTTTGGATAAGTCAAGCTTCTGTAGCTGGCTCAAATTGTTAAGCTCTGAAGGAATTTCACCATTTAATTCGTTTCCAAGCAAATTCAGGTATGTCAAGTTTGAGAGATGACTCAAGGCAATAGGAATTGATCCAGATAAACTGTTATTAGCCAGATTCAGAATTCTCAATGATTTGAGAAACCCCATAGAGGAGGGTATGTCACCTTCAAGCATGTTGTTTGATGCTGCAAAATTTTGGAGCTCTTCACAGCCTTGAATCTCTTCTGGTATGAGGCCATTAAGACTGTTAAATTGTAAATCAAGAGATATTAGATGCTTCAAGTTACCAATCTGAACAGGTATGCTTCCATTTAAGTTGCAGTTGGCCAGGCCCAACACAGTCAACTGGTTCAATTTGCCAATACTAGGTGTGATTTCACCAGTCAACATGTTATCTCCTACTCTAAGAACTTGCAACTTGATCAAATTACCTATCTCTGCAGGAATGTTACCAGAGAGATAATTTGAGTACAGTAGCAATATCCTTAGATTTTGAAGCTTCCCAAGCTCAGAAGGGATGGAGCCAGTGAGGGAATTTGAAGACAAATCAAGTGTTTGAAGAGAAATGAGGTGACTCAACTCAACTGAAATGGAACCAGATATTCCTGAACCAGATAAGTCCAAGTCTACAATGTTTGTCTCATCAACTGCACATGTTATTCCATTCCAACTGCATAAATGAGTAGTTGGAGACCAGTTGTTAAGGGCTCCTAATGGATCAACAATTTCTGATTTAATTCTAAGAAGCCAGTAGGAATTTGTTGTATTAACCCCTAGAGTTGTGACAAAAACAGTATACAGTATAGTTGATAGTAGAAAGAAATGGCACATGCAATTAGAACCCATTGCAGAATGTTTAACAAATATGAGGTTCATGATAAAGAATCAAGACACCAGATCAAATGGTCCAAAGGGTATGCTCTGAGAGGCTAATTCCATGTAAAGGAATGGAGAAGAACAATTATGAAAGGATCATGTTTAGCAGGGGATGAAACGAAAGTGGCAAGAACATTAGAGGAAATGAATTAGGAAGAAATATTAAACAAGAATTTCAGAGACTGTTGTACTGAGAGGATATAAGATCCGACTTTATATAGTTACAGTGAAGCAGCCTACGTACATATGGCAAATAAGTTATATTTATAATGATATTTTGACACGATGAAGTTACGTAATTCTCTCGTCATTTCTTTTTTAATATAAAAAAATTAAAAATACATTCATACATATAATTGTTTTTGTAAATTCCTAAATTTTTAACAATTTTTAAAATATTCTTATAATAAAGAAATTACCAAAATTCACATTTAATTATTATTTAGGATGGTATCAGAGCCCTTGATTTTTTATACTGACTCAAGAGATCAAAGATCTCAGAGATTAATAAATAAATAAATAAACTTAAGAAATTAGATAATAAGATAAATAAATAAAATCATGAGAGTTGGGTAGTAAAATGAGTTTCTTATTATCTTTTAAATGGTCTTTAATTTTGAAGTATTGATCTTGTTAATTATGCTAACAATTTCTTATATGTTATCTTTTATAAAATTTAACATAGAAATATGAAAAATATAGAAGGGGTTGTGCCTTAAATCCATAGTGTGTACTATGTCATTTTGTTTGCTTGCTAAATTTTAAAATTCATAATATCCTATGTTGTCTTGTTTGCTTGGTTATGCATGATTCTTTTTTGCTTGCTAATTTTTGTTTGTGAGGGAGGCACAAACTTTTAAGTTTAGAGGATAGGACTTATTGTAAGAATGGTAGAATATAATTCCCCAAGAAAAATAGTAAAAATAAAAGATAGTAATAAGAAAATTAATAAAATAATAAAATTAATAGTAATAATAAAATAAATAACAAAATAATATTAGTATGTGTATTTTATTTCAGCAATATCTTAAGTAATAAGAATGAGTCAGTCTTAAGTCAATCATGAGTCAGGGATATTTTGAACCATACGAAAACTAAAAAGAAAAGGAAAATAATCTTAAATCTTACCAAGAAAAAAGAAAACAAATAATTTCAGGAAAAAGGAAAACAAATTCTACAAAGCCCATATTTGAGCCTAAAACTTCAGCTATAAATAGGGTTAATCAAACCAAATCACTCTTAATCCTCAACATTTCTCGTTTTCTCTTCTCCTCTTCTACTCTTTCTTATTATTTCAAATTTCTATTTTGTTATTATTTTTCTTTGGCTACCAATCACGCTTCTCTTCTCTAGTCACTTTTTCTCCTACAAGTCATCAAGCACGAAAATAAAAATAATAAGCGAAGAAAAATAAATAGAGAAGAGAAGCGTGATTTGAAATAATAAGAAAGAGTAGAAGAGGAGAAGATGAGAAGAGAAATGTTGAGGATTGAAAGTGATTTGGTTTAGTTAGGTTAAGTTCCTATTTGTAGCTGAAGTTTTGGGTTCAAAATATGAGCTTTGTAGAATTTGTTTCATTTTCTTCCTGAAATTATTTGTTTTCGTGCTTGATGACTTGTAGGAGGAAAAGCGACTAGAGAAGAGAAGCGTGATTGGTAGCCAAAAAAAAATCATAACAAAATAGAAATTTGAAATAATAAGAAAGAGGAGAAGAGAAATGGAGAAATGTTGGATTAAGAGTGATTTGATTTGGTTAAACTAAACCCTTATTTATTGCTGAAGTTTTAGGCTCAGGATATCAGCTTGGTAGAATTTGTTTCCATTTTTTCTGAAATTATTTGTTTTCTTTTTTCTTCGTAAGATTTAAGATTATTTTCCTTTTTTTTCTTATGATTATTTTCCTTTTCTTTCTAGTTTTTGTATGGTTCAAAATTTCGCTGATTCATGATTAACTCATTCTTATTAAGATATTGCTGAAATAAAATACACATACTAATATTATTTTTTTAATTTTATTGTTACTATTAATTTTTTATTTTATTAATTTTATTATTATTATTTTTTCTAGGATATTACATCTTTAGTATACAAAGCTTCTTGACTTGTGAGGGTAGGATGAGGATCGATTATACGTAACCTTCCTCTTATACTTTTACAAAGAAACTGTTTATTAGATTTAAACCAATGACTTTGTTAGAAAGAGCTATTCATATTTTATTTCTTTCTTTAAAAGAAAAAAGCAAGTGTAAAAATAATGAAATATTGTCGACTTAGAAATATCATTTTGTGAAAAGTAGGGTAACCTCTTCAAATTCTTCAGGGATCAAGTGTTTTTTTTGTTAGAAATAAATGTGAGTAGCGGTGAAGTTCCGTATTAATTAGAGATGAATCAAGTGAGGAATATATAAATGTAAAAAAAGTACATTGACATATTGCTTTTGAATTTTGGGTTGAAATGTGATGTGAATTTACATATTTTATCATTTAACCCAGTAACAAGTTATACTTATACCATTCTAACTAAGCTTGTTTAATTGGCAGCTATACGGAGACAAGATTACACGATGGTTTTTCGTTGTTTAGTTCCCCCCACCCACCCAAAGAATTATAGAACAAGCTGATAAAGAGATCCACTCGTGTCTGATATAAAAAGGTGACATAATAAATGTGTCACTTTCTATAGCCTTTTATTGATCCTCAATTCATTCTTTCACACTGCCGCAACCGCAATACAAGTTCATAGTGTATTCACTGGGATTACAGAAAAAATAAATTAAGTATGATTTGACTTTACAAGAGTTCTGGTCGATTCAACTTTATAAATTTTCAACTAAATAGGTATAAACCCATCAAGATCTTCAAGCTTGACATACGCTCCCCTGTCCTTTACTGTCTGCTTGGCGTGATAAAATGCTTCGAGTTATAATGAGGCCTGAGAAAGTGAGCAAGTAATGAGTATTCATGATAATAGATGGGAAAGTTGAACATTACATCTATACATTTTTTTTTTGGAAACATCTATATATATTTTTTTGGGAAAAATATTTCTGCATTTGCTGATATGAGTTATCTGCATTTATTCTTATAACGACGTCATTTTGGTATTGGAAAAAAATTATAAATATAAAGACTTTTATAACCCTGAAATAAATTAAAATTACAAAAACACCATGATTTCTGTCCCAAAACGATGTCGTATTAGGCTTACTGCAGAAAAAGCGAACCCTTATTTTGTATACATAGTTTTTATATTGTTTTTTAAATAATAGAATAAAAAGCTTGCATTCCAACCACTGTTGTAAAACCCGTTGGGTCGACCCAGAACCCGGTGAACCGGTCATCGGACCGGTTCGAGTCAAATATTAGATTGATCATGTATCAACCTGACCAAACCCGGCCAAAACCGGTGACCCGTGACCCGGTTGGGTCATACATTTAAAAAAAAAACCAAAAAATCAAAATTGTTTCATCTTGTCAAAAAAAAAATAGAACTCATTTTAAAAACTTTTTGTAATTTTATTTGCTAATATACTTTTCTACAATGACCTCAAATTTCAGCTTCCAATACTGAAGCAATTTGCTGAATAATAAATTAAGAGAATATGACATATGTCATTTTAATGTAATTGAATTTGAAAAATATGAGTTCAATACTTATTGAGAAGTATGTTTATGGGGATTCTAAGTTGCAATTTAAATTGACATAATAATAGCGTGCATTTTTTATTTTTAATTATTTATACTTCATGTTTTTAACTTATTTAGTGAACCTTGTTTAATTTATTTTAGACATGGAGAATATAATCGAATTATATGCTCATATTTATATATATTTTTATATATCCGGGTCAACCGGTCCGACCAGTGACCCACCGGTCTGACCAGTGATACAGTGACACAGTGATCCAGTACCCCGACCGGGTCGATACCTGGATCGGATTTAATAAGACTGATTCCAACACATATTTTTTTTATCTTTACCGTTGGCATAGCTTTCACATTTATGCTTTTTCTTTTCTTTTCTATTTCATTCTGTATAACGGTTGATCTATCTACAGATGATTGAGACCGGTTCACTCTACCTTAGCTCAGTTTTTCTCAAGATTCATGCACAAGCAAGCCCATATACATGGATAATGTCAAGTAGGTTTTGGCAATGCCCCATTCATAGTCCTAGACAAGAAAACAAAGTTAAGTACTAACCAACGTGGACCACTAGTAACGGAGTGCCTTTCTCTATCACCTTGATCTTTATCTACATTGTAGCAAAATGCTTTTATTCACGCCACTCTGCCCCAAGCCATTATGTGGTCACTACGAAAGTTTTGGTTTCTTCAAAGCTGCAAATTCAAGATCTAAACAGTAATATTCATTATCATCCTTGTTTTAAAAGGAAATCGAATTGAGTTGTCAACTAACTTAATTGTCGCGAAGTTGACATATATACATGAGATATGGGGTGTGATATGATAATGATACGATGATATCGATAAAAAGACGTGAAATTTTTATATAAATATAAAATATGATGGACTTATGATATCATATTAAATTAATATAAGATCAACATAAAGATACAAATACTAGAGATATATTTAAATTGTACCCAAAAAAGTATGTGATCAGTCCAAGAGGAATTGGACTTGATCACACACGTTAAGTCTGGTTCAAATAGATTATCGATGGATAATTGTGATGGATTAGCTCGGTTACATAGGATGATATATGTGGAATGGAGATTCTGAAGTCGTCTTAGTATGTTTGTGTGCAACACATGTGGGTGGGTGATTCTCACGCTTAATTTAGTATTTAAGTGATGAACTAAAAGTAAAATTGAAAGAAGATGATCATGCTTGGGTTTTGAGCCTCTTTTTTATAGTAGTGGCATAACTTATTTGTTGTCTTGTTATGCTGCTTAAGTATGGTGGCATGCATTCTAATTGGTAGATTGTGATGGCTTTGTTAACCTA